ATGTTTGTGGTTGTAATGTGACAAAATATGGAAAAGTTCAAGGGGTATGAATACTTTTGCAAACCACTGTATATGAATTGTTGCTCAAGAAGGAGTTAACTTTTTTTGTTTGAAGATTACTGCGTGAATTAATTTTTTGAAAAAATAATGGGGCAGAAATAAGATTTTTTCTTTCTGCTGCCTTTCATTTTATTTGTGATTTGTATTTCTTATTGTAAATAGAATTAGTTGTCTTTTGAAAAAGAAATGAACAAAATATTCAGTCAGGCAATACTCGGGATCTAAGAACTGTTATGTAATAACTCCTCCCCTGTCTTGCTGTAGTGTTTGCCTGAAGACTTCCAGCTCGTAAATAAAATAGATGTTTTTTTTCTGTCTTGCTGTTTTAGAAGTGTAAAAGCAGCAAAGATAGATAAAAAAAAGTCAGTTCAGGCCTGCTGTTTTGACTTGGCTTTAGCTCAGCTGTGACCGGATGAGCAGGCAAAGGAGAGAAAGTAGTGAGGGGTAGTTGAGCGTTGAGTCTGTGATCCGTGGGATTACAAATGTGAGATTGATCGCTGTTGAACATGTTGTGATGTCATCCTACCCACATTAGAGTCTGCTGTCAGCATAAGATGCTCTTAATCATTTATGGTCCTGTCACCACTTGTCTCTGTTGGAGCTCCCGTCACATGGATCTGTGACAGCCTAGTTATATAAAAACTGTTGTTCAGTGCAGGCACAAAAACTAAAGAAACAATTCAGCTGGAGAAAAAAAACTACTGTAGGCATTACGTTTTTGTGTTTTATTTTATTTTGAGCATGCCCATCATGTGTTTCCTGAGCAGTAAGGGTAATAAAATAGTGTTTTTAATGAGACAAGGTCATCTAGAGACGAGCTAAAGAAGCACAAAAACAAATCAATAGTCAAAAACGTTCAAGGTGCTCTGAACGAGTTTTTCTTTGTTGAAAAAAACCTTTCCTCTCCAAAATACTTCAGGGTGAGGAGTTACAGGTAAACTCAGACTAATAATCGTTAGGCTGATGGTCCTGTTTTTCATGTGAATAACCAGTTTTGATTGTTCCACCGTGTGAAAATAATGCTTAAGGCTGAGTTTACCTGTAACTCCTCAGATGGAAGAAGTCTCTTGGAGAGACGAAATGTTTGTTTGTTTGTTTGTTTTTTTCAATAAAGAAATCGTCCACAGGACCTCGATTTGTCCTGATGCATCTCAACACTTCAGGTAGAAAAATAAAATTCATTTGTAATTTGAATTTTTTTTCTTCAGAGAGAAATAATTTGGTAGCAGAAAAAAATGTCAAAAACCCAAAAGTCAACTTCACTTTGCTTTAAGAAAACTTTATTTAGATGAAAAAATTTTAACCACCAATGTCACAGTATAGCTCTAAAAAATTTCACAAATAATTTTGTTCTCTGAAAGAATAGTCCTCATGATGCTGCATTCATGCTTTTCTTTTGTTACAGTGTACTGAAAGGGTAAGAATTTATATGTCAGGGCTGCAGGCAGGCCATAATTCATCTTTTGTCAAGGCCACAATAATGGGGTCTTGACGACCTTAGGGGGGGTTGAAACTGCTCCTCATCAAACATCAAGGGGTGCCCAAAGGCATAAAATGGGCCATTTCTTGTCATGGCTTAAGGTGTGAGGTTTGTGTCTTCTTGATATTTGAGAACCCACTGACATCTTTTGTGCTGAGATTGAATATCTCTTTGCGACATCAAGAGCATTCCTCTTTAGCTCTCGCACTATGGAGGTTGTCTTATTACTCTGTATGTGGCCACTGTGAAGAGTTAATCCATCAAAATGAGCTAATCTGTCCATGTAGAGAATTATTTTTTTCTCCCCTCTTTGTGTTTCCGGCCAGCTTAGAGACAGGAAGTCCAGTCATTAGCTAGCTCTGATGTTGCCATAGAGAAATACAAAACTGTGCAGTGAGGAGGAACACAACAGTTGATGAGCTGTCTTCAGTMGTCAGCAGACTGATTGGTTTCTGTACAATGCATCTGGTCAAAGGTTTACTAACTGATAGATCATACTTCAATAATTTAACCATATTATCTTTGTTCAGAGAGAATATAAAGTGTATCTTTCCACCCCAAGGCAAAATTTGAAAAATGCATCAAAGGGGGGGTGTCAGAGTGGAGCTGTGGACAGGATGAGAAAACCTGACAGCTATAGGGGCATGACACTACACAGTTTTGACCTAGACATCCATGACCTGGTAATCTGACAGAAATGTACACAAGATGTCCCAGCCACACAGATGCCAGTTGAAAAGAAACCTTCAGTGACTGATGATCCAAATCATCATTACTTTGATCAGAACATCTGTGAAGACATGACTGCTATGTATGTGGATGGATGTTCATTCCATCACGACATCTGTAAAGCAGTTGTTAGAGTAGTCCTACTGCAAGGCCAACAACAAGACACCTTTAACTTTAAGCTAGGTCCCCAGTCCTCTCAGTACGCTGATATTTCTGGCGTCCTAATAGCCCTCCAGTTTGCAGTGGAACGTTCAATCCAGACGCTTGTCATCTGCACTGACTCCAACTATACGTCTGAGCTTCCTGTGTCATCTGGCTCACTGGAAACAGAACAGTTTCCTTTAGAGGTGTCCCGATTCCGATACCAGTATCGGTATCGGATCCGATACC